GGGGGGAGGGAGGGGGAAAATGAGCAGCCGATATTAAGGGCTCAAGTGGAACGCAGATGTTTTGAAGATGATGGCAACGAATGTACATGCGTGCTTGACACAATGGATGTATGCATTGTGATGGGCTTTGTATGAGCCCCCAATAAAATGATTTTTTTTTAATCTCCATTATTGCCATGCTCGTCAAAACAAATACTTGAAAAAAATCCAAATGCCCAACAACAGACCGACTGAATCAATTATGGTACATTCACACAATAGCATTATTTATAGTGCTACAAAAAAATTTTAAGGATAATGATTAAGGGTGGTCTCCAGCTATGACATAAGCACATTATGCTAAGTAAAATAATCCAGACATAAAAGGGCAAATACTGGACTCCCTTGTTTTAAATATGAATGGATGAATACATATAGAGACAAAAAGTAGATTTATGGCTATCTTAGGCTGGCAAGTAAGAAGGTGAATTGCTTAATGAGCAGTTTCTATTCTGGGTGAAGAAAAAGTTTTAGAATCAATTAGTGGTGCTGAGCTTGACTACTGGATTGTGCACCTGAAAATGGTTAATGTGTCAAATTTCACGTTATGTAAATTTTACAATTAAAAAATTGGAACAGGGTGTTCTGAGAGCTACAGAACACATTCTATAAGCGATGAAAACAAGGTATAGAAAGCGTACATGGCAAATTACCATATACTTGAGTATAAGCCAATCCAAATATCAGCCAAGGCACCTAATTTTACCACAAAAACTACATTAAAAATGTGCTCAAAAACTCAGCTTATACACACGAGTATACGGTACCTTAAAAATTCAAATTTCCCTTACCTTGGAAACAAATGAAGTCAATGGCAAGTTAACTTGGTAAAAGAATTCTTCAAAGAAAGGATTTTGTCCAAAGGGCTTCATTCTAAAACAGAGAACTTGGACTACAATGGGATACCGTCTAGGGGTGGGGGAGGGAGTGCTATAAAAAAATTAACATGATCCAGTATTTGTATGGCTATTCCTAATGTTGTTAGTTCCCTTTGGAGTTGGGTTGTAACTCATGGGACTCACGTGTGCAGAGTAGAGCAGTTTTCTAGGGCTTTCAAAAGCTGTTCACCAGGTCTCTTTCCCAAGAAGCCTCTGAGTGGGTGTAAGGCAGCTAAAACTTTCCAGGTAGTAGTTTCATGCTTAGCCATTTATACCAGCCAGAGAGATCCCCTACTAAATTGTAAGATTGTACAGTGTAAATTGGAAAGACCAATATAAACTCATGTTTTTTACAAATACTAGCTCTGGCACTGAATTGTTATCCTCAGAGCAATTTGATACTGTATCTTTGCCAATTCCAGGTCTGGGAGGGAAGGTAAAGGTAAGCATGGAGTGCAAGAAAACTTTCAAAGATAAACTGGCTTGAAGGAATGCCCGCTTATAATGTGAGGGGACTTTTAAAAGTTCAAGGAAAATTCCGGTGTCTTTTATTTCATTTTTTCCTTAGGCTTTTGAAAGCCCCCCTTAAGTGAACATCAGAAAGAAAATCTAGAAAAGTGAGACAATTCATGAGAGCACATAACTATAGAAGGAATGAAAAACTAGAAAAGCATCACTTTGCAAGTCCTGAAGCAAACCCCTAACTTGTTACTACTCTGTTTACTAACGGGTTAACGCTAAAAACCAAAACCTAACACAGTGCGTGGCACAATTCTAACTCACACTGTCCCACACGGTTTCCAAGGAGATGTCAGTCTCAGGGAAGCTGCCCGCCCAACTCATCTTTCTCCAGCAAAGCAGCAAGTGGTGTGAACCCCAACTTTCTGGTTAGCTGCCGAATGCCTACCCACGGGGCCACCAGAACTCCTGAAGGATGTCCAGACCATCCTTTGATTAGCAAAAAGGACAAGCCAATAAAACATGGGCTAAGAACATGTCATCATTAATTCTTTACCAACCAACCTATTGGTATGAGTCTACACAATTAGTATCTCTTAGAATGAATGAGAAATTGGGATGAGGTTTAAGTATCTGCCTAAATGGCAAAAGAATTAACATAAGCAGTCTAACTTAAGGAAAAAAGTTACTCAACTTATGCTATGTCTACTCCAATACCCTACAACCAACAGCCAGTCTGAGCTTAGTCACAAAAACCTACACAAATAAAACTTACTTCCCTCCCTTACTCCAAATACAACATACTCTACACACCATTCTCTATTGTGTGTGTGTGTGGGGGGGGGGGGGTCTCCCACCACTAATATTTTTGGTTATTCTGGGTGTCAGTAAATAGGTTCCTCCTCATTCTTTTGCACAGCTGAGTAGTATTTGTTGTCTAGTTGGACCATAGTTTTAACCAGCCAGTCTCCTACTGGTGGGCCTGAATTATGTCTAGTCTTTTCCCTTGTATTACATCTCCCAGAACTGAGAGAACTGGGTTAAAAATATTTATAGTAAATTACTACAGATATTGGCAAACTGCACTCCCACCCCCCACCCCAGTTTGTTCAAGAGCCCTGGTGGTATCATGGTTACAAAGTGGGCTGCTGGCCACAAGGTCAGCAGTTTGAAACCATCAGGTGCCCTTAGAGATAAAGAAGAGGCTTTCTAATCTTGTCAAGAATTAGTCTCAGAAACCCACGGGGGCAGTTCTACTCTGTCCTACAGGGTCACTGTCAGTCAGGATCGACTCCATGGCAGGGAGTTCTAGTTTAGCTTGTTTACAGCAATATCACTATTTTAATTTTTGAGGTTTTACATTTTTAAATGTTATGACTGACTTGATTTCCCCTGCCTACTCAATTTTCTTCCTCAGAATTTTATTGGCTATTTTAAGCTAGTGTACCGTATGAACGACGCTTAATTCTAGAAGGAAAAAAGCCTGCAGATTTCTTTTTATTAAGGTCACATTAAACTAGTAAATCTACTTACGTTTGAATGCAATTCCTTGATGGTTTCCTATTGAAAATAGGACATACGTGTTCATTTACGCCTTACATTATGCTTCTTCCAAAAGAACCAGCCCATTGCCAGCAAGTCCATTTCAACTCCCTGCAGCCCTCCAGACCCGGGAAGATCTGTCCCTGAGGTCTCAGGAGGGCAGCTCATTACAGGAGCTTTCTCTGAGAAGTGGCTGCTTTCTGGGCCTCCTATTAGTTAGGCCTCTTAGGAATTTCTTAAAGTTCTTTTCTGATAGTTTTGTACATTTCTTAAATTTCTCGATAGATAGATAGATAGATAGTAAATATCCATTTTCTATCATTAAAACTTCTAACTGATCACATATATTTGAAGTCTATTGGCTTTTATATATTAAGTTTAATGCTCTTACTTCTCTTATTAAAAATCGTGTGCAGGACAACTGTGGATGAATTCCCTGGAAAAAAGCATCTTTGTAAACACAAGTAATTTTCTTCAATACTTCCCCAAATGTATGTGGCCTGGGAACACCTGCATCAATGAAGTTATGACTCCTAGAATCTACCCAGACTCATGGATAAATATTCCAACACTTAACTACACCTGATCTAGAGCCCCAAGGCCTTGACTCCCAAAATCCTTGGCTTTCTGCGCTTTATGGCACTGCTTCTCCAAGCTAATATCCGGTCTAGGACTTGACCTGCAAGCTTATTATAGTAACCCAAAGATAAGGACTTTCGAATAATCGATATAGACATCCCATAACAAGAAGTTCCTTTGCAAATATGCTTGTTTAACAAGTATTTTAGTTATCTGCTTTCTACCACCAATAAAGAGGTTTTCGTATATAAAAGTCTGTTCTGTAGTTATTTACTACTTAGCTTCTTTTTCTCTCCCGTCAAATCTCCAAAGAAGAGATGCTCCAGGAAGATGGACCATACTACCCAAATTAATTTAGGACTCCTCACCCGAGATGGTGGTTATGTCAAGGCCCCGGATTAACGTTCCATTTTGAATCAAAGTAACCTCTGCATCAGGAATGTAGCCTGTCTTTCCTGTGCCCTGAGAAAAGGAGGTAAACAATGGCAAAAAACCAATTCTCAGTTGGCTGCTTAAGGATTCTGCTGGCTGCTTAAGTAGCCAGGTCCAAATACATTTGTCTGAAACAGACATTATTACTCAAAATCAACTCTAGAATTAAGCGTTCCTTCTTGCAGTTAGGCTAGAAGGGGCTCGCGGTTGTTTCCAGGCCAGATGTAGCCAATTTAACGATTACTTTGTAGCAGTAAAAAAAATCTTTAGAAGTGTAGCTAGCGATCGCTCGTCAATCAGATGTGTGCCCTCACCCAATTTTTAAACTACTCCTTAAATGTCACGCAATCACTATTTTTTTAACGGCAGTTCCTTGTATTTTCTCCTAAAATAATCCCTTAACCGACTCCTCCTTGGATTCCTGAGTCAGAGCCCAGCAGGCCTTGTGAATCCTAACTTGCAAGCTGCCTTGAAGCTAAATAAAAGCTCCTTGATGTTGAACTTCGAACAGACTGCCACTTGGCTCAACGACAACCGTTAGAAAGATCCACGTTTCCGACGCGCTAAGCGAGGCGAAGCGGCTATTTACCTCAGTTCTAGGCGCCCGCGTCTCTCTCTCACAAGCCGCCACGCACAATTCCGTACCCAGTCTGCGAATTTCCTCCACAATCTCAAACATCCGGCCAAACTTAGAGCCGAACTCAGGGTCACGGGCGCTGGACCCTCCTCGGAGGCCTCCACCCTCGCCCCGCACGGGCCCGAAACCCGAAACCCACCTTCCTCCCGCGGCGCGCCCCTCCAGACCGGGAATCCTCCCCGTCAGCCTCCCCGGCCCCACCGGCCCGAGACGCCAGGTCCCACCTCCGACTTTCGCGCCACGTGGACCCAGGGGCCGGACTGACCCGAGGACAAAGACCAAGATGTCCACTACAAGTGCTGCGCGTGCGCAATCCGAAGGCGCTCGAGCCCTCCCAGAAGTCTCCGCGACGCGGCCTCGTGCAGCTACGGTGGCCTAGCCTCGGCTCGGAGCGCCCGGAAGACCGCCTTGGCGGCCTTCAACTACAATTCCCATCAGGCTTTGCCGGTCAAAGGTTACGTGGCAGTTTCGCGAATTGGGCTGCCTGTTCCCGTGATGATGTGACTTTCGGGGTGAGGAGGTCTTCCTTGAGAAAAGACCCTCGCCCGCCCGGTGGTAAATTTGGAATTGGAGGCCTCTCTATGAAATCTCCTGGATTGCGGTGTCAGACGGGCCAAACGCACATTCCAAAGCGGAGAGACGCCTTCTTGTCTGTCGCCGACCTGGCTCTGGACTACCTTTCCCAGAGTCCTCAGCCGCGCTACGTCACAGCTCTGCGTCGGGGTGCGACCGTTAGCCCTGCGGATACCCGGGCGCGACCAAGAGAAGGCAGAAGGTGAGGGTCTGAGAGTCCGGGGCGGGGACGGGGCGTGTCTGGAGCCTCGGTCTGAGGATGCGGGATTCTGATTGTGTGCGCGTGGTTGCGGCTGTGGGACTGCCTATGGGTGCTTGTGAGTGTGTGTGTGTGTGTGTGTGTGTGTGTGTGTGTGTGTGTGTGATGGCTACCTCTGTGTAGCCATGTGTGGTGCACTGTGCAGGAGAGTGTGCGCTGTTTGTGACTTTGGGGGTGCTATTGTGTGTCTTTTATGGATATGACTGTACACCTTGTCTCGGCGTGTGAGTGTAGTTGTGTGGCCTTTGTGGGTGCCTGTGTGATTGCAATTGCATAACACCAAGTAGGTGTGTGGCTGTAGTGTAATGCTGTAATATTGTGTGCAGTTGGCATGTGCATGTATGTGATTAGGCGCATGACATCGCGTGAGTCCCCATGTCGTAGATTTGTAACCTCCGTGCGCTGTGTCCCTTGAGGTGTGGGTATGTGTGTGAACTGGTGCCTCTGCACCAGCCTGTGGGTGTCGGATGTCTTTGCAAGTGTTACCCTGTTTCCCCAAAAGTAAGACACCCCCAAAAAATAAGACCTACTTACAGTTTTGCCTCTCGCTGAAATATAAGGCATCCCTCCGAAAATAAGACCTCCCTGAAAATAAGGCCCCCTGAAGTTACCATAACTCTGGACCTTAGCAGCAGGTGCAGCTAAGTTGCAGCTCACTGTTGGCTGCAGCGCAGCTGGAACAGACAGAAAGTGGGAGGTTTCTTTTAATGAAACAATAAATGTGTATCGTGTTCTTCTTCATGGAAAAATAAGACATCCCCTGAAAATATGACCTAGCGCATCTTTGGGAGCAAAAATTAATATAAGACACTGTCTTATTTTCCGGGAAACAGGGTATCTGTGTATGTTTCCAGAGTGAGTGTTCACTTATGACTGGATGATGTTTAGTTGGCTAGAGTGGGGTGCCAGTGATGGTGTGTGTCCCCTGCTGGGCATGAACAGGGGACACACTGGACTATGTGGGGAGCCTGTGACTGTCATTGTGGTGAGTAGATGGTGTGACTATGTGTGTCTTGGTGTGTGATTATGAGTGTGTATAGGGCTAAGGGGTTCTGCAATTGTGTGGTTATGTTTTTGCCACAGTGTTACAAGAGCCAAGGTGTTGCCTGAGTTTGTATGACACTGTGCTGTGCACATAACACCAAAGTGTGTACACGTGTGGTATCCGTGACTCCAGCAGAACCTGTGAATTTAGGACAGATGACTACCATAGTCCGTGGCGACTTCCACCTTTGCCTATGACACTGTGATTCTGCAGGGTGCCCGGTCTTTTCTGACTTTCATGTGGAAAGATCCTCTGAGCACCTGATTGCTCATGATTCTTGTCTCTTAACCCTTCTTCAAGTAAGGAAAACGTTGTTCAACATTCAAAACGCAAGTTCAAGATGCATGGGTGTTATGGATTAAATTATGCCCCCGTCCCCCTGCCCCTTTCAAAATGGATAGATAGATCCTATGAAGTGCCCTGAGGGCAGCGTGGTTATGCATTGGGCTGCTTCACTGAAAAAGGGCAGCAATTTGAAAACATCAAGAAAGAGGATAGCTTTCTTCTCCCTTAAATAGAAACCCACAGGGGCAATTCTACTCTGACCTTCAGAGTCTTGATTTGGCATGGACACCATAGCAGGGAGTGTCAAACCTTAAACCTATAGAAGTGGACCGTGCTTGCTTTGGTGGCACATATACTAAAATTGGAACGATACAGAGAAGATTAGCATGGCCCCTGCGCAAGGATGACACGCAAATTCGTGAAGCATTCCATATTTAAAAAAAAAAAAAAAGTGGACCTTGTTTACATGTTCCTTGTTGTGTCAATGAGGCCATATCAGTGTAGAGTGTATCTTAAACCTAATCGCTGCTTAGTTATGAAAGAGCAGATTTAAAAAAAAAATTTTTTTTTTAAAGAAAGAGCAGATTAGACACTGAAGCAAGCATCTGGGGAACAACAAGGTGCCAGGGCGGGAGACAGACTTTATCAGAGGACTTCGGAGGCAGGTGAATCAATCTATAAACCCCAGAACCCCAGAGACTGCCCGCCCCAAGAACGTGAAGAAACAGACAAGGAATGATCTAAAGCCACAACATGAATTCCGGCTGAAGTGTATGATGTGGTTGAAAGCATCCGAAACTATGGGAAAATAGTTTCTGTTCTTTAAAACCACCCTCTTGTAGTATTTCTGTGACTGCAGCACTAGCTAACTCGGGGGATTGGGTTTCTTCTTCCTCCCTGGAAGCCCTTCTTGTTTTTCATGCTGTGATTTCTTTCCTTCTTCCAAAACGTCCTGCCTAACAAGAGAAGACTCAGAGTTACCTGATCTCCAGTATATGTCATTGGAGTAGGTAACCAGTGCCCTGAAGATGGATTAAAGCACATCCTGACCGATTCTTCTGTTGTGTTAGTGTTGGGAATAATCACGTGGATTATTTTAAGACAGAGTTCACTACGTTGTGAATATGTTTCTATAATTTTTTTTTCATAATTGAGGAACCATGCCATCAGTAAGGGAAACTTTCCACTCAATAATCTGACAGTCATCGTAGATTAACATTTATTTTTCTCTGAACAAAACATGTTCAATAAAGTACTATTCTTTAAATGAAGTGGGGGGGGGAAATCGCCTTCTTGCTCCCCACCTAATGTTTGCTTGCTTGTTTTTGTTTTTTTCTAGTTCATTCCAGACATTAAAATGTGGCAAAGATAGAGTTCCCATACAGTTGAAAGGTTGTTGCAAAACATCTGGTTGTGGTTCATAGTGACTACAACAATTCTAATTTCCCCCTCATTCATGTCAGACATTGGCTTGAGTATTCATTATTTTCTGACTTACCTGGTAAATACCAGCTATTTCATTCATTGTTTATTTTTATATGAAAGCAGTATGGGTATAATTTCTATTATGAAATTAATATAAGCTTAATGTAAATCTCTAGAAACTTGCCAGAAATATAACTTCCCTATCTAGAGATTTAATACTATTAAAATTTGATGTAAACATTTCTGCAGTGTTAAGTGTAAGAGGCCCTATGAATTGAATTGACAGCACACAGCATCACATTCATATATGCTACCTTGGTGGCACAAAATCTTAAGCCCTTGGCTGCTAACCACAAGATGGGTGGTTCAGGGCTACTCAAAGGAGGCTCCGAAGGGCCTGGTAGCCTCCTTCTGAAAAAAATCAACCACCGGAATAAAGTTCTACTCTAGCATCACTTACAGATATTCTAGTCTGCCTTCTTCATTCATTAATACGTTGTTAATAGTCGTAATCTATGGTTGTGTTTTTAAATCCCTATACAGTGAACCCTCATTTATCGCGGTTAATTGGTTCTAGACCCTACCGTGATAAATGAAATTCCACGAAGTAGGATTCATTATTTGTAAATCAAGTATTTTCATAGTTAGAGTATAGAGGACATGAAAAAACACCCTTTAGTCACCATTACACTCGTATTACCCAATTTATTAAACGAAAAAGGGAAAATACAGTAAAACATTTTGGACGTTACAATTATCATTTATTATTTATTATATTATTTATGGCATCTAGTTTACAGTATTACATATTTCACATACAGTATTATTATACATAGTTCTTACAAATACTGTAATCAATGGCGTGCAACCTCCACGATTTTCTTGCCATCTTTGATCATATCCAAAAGTTTTACCTTTTCCTGGATGGTGAGCATCTTCCTCTGGCGCTTATTTTTATTGTCAGAAGGCTTAGAAGAAGCAGCTCGTTTAGGAGCCATCATAGGGCTTAGATAAAATTTCTTAAAAATCGCAAACAATTACAGTACACTGTACAAAAGCAAAAATGCATCTGATACGTAGCTCCAATACGTAGCGATGCAGACAGAAGCGTGTACAGTATGAGCCAATCAGTGGCAGTAATGACAGAGCATGCGCTGTTACGCAAAAACCGCGATAAAGTGAAGCCGTGGAAGTCGAAGCGCGAAGTGGCGAGGGTTCACTGTATAGTATTCCATCATTGAGATGTACCTTATTGATCGCATTGCCTATTTGTATCTCCACTTACCGTATATACTCGAGTATAAACTGACCTGAATATCAGCTTATACATGAGTATATACGGTATTGTTCAAAATATTCTTGTACTTACAGCTTTCTTTTGGAATGAATTCCTTAGGGTAAAGACTCAGAAAATGAGGCCTTGGGTCAGCCATTAGACGTTTGTTAGGAATGTGCAAATAGACAACATCCTAACTTAGTACTTGGGGAGACAAAATGCTTTCTAAGAGTTGCCACTGCTTTTCAGTTTAACTTTAAATCTGTTTTCCAAATGAAAACTTACACAATGTCTAAAGACTGGTAAGAAACACTACTTTCCTCTGATGATATGCTGTGAGACTTCTTAAGGAGATAATGGTATGA